TGATATGAAATGAAATAGAAAAGTTTTCCACTCTTTGCAAAAGACAAAAGCTTACACGTGTGTGGCTGCTTTACTTCTAGAGCCAGATAAAAACCCCACGGCTGTGGAAGGACTAGGAACAGAGCCTGATAATTTGGTGATTACCTGGAAGGTAAGCTGCAGAGCCTTCAACTTCCCTTGGTATTTTTTTAGAGTGAAAAAAGAGTTGTTTGAAACTAATACCTGCCTTAGATTCCATTTCACTCATTTTTGTGGAGGAACCGTATGTCTTAGATATCTTTCTTTAAGAGGCAATATTGTGTAGTAGTTAAAAGCTTGAACCAAAATGAACGGGTGCAAATCTCAGCTCTGCCATTATTGTATGACCTTAAGCCAGTTGTCCCACATCCCGGTTAGGTATCTGTTATGAATGGGAGTAATAGCAGAATCACCTTCATAGGATTACAGGAATTCATGCCTTTAAAGAACCCAGAACAATGCCTAGCATATATAGTATGTGTGTTTAAAAAAATGCTAACTAGAGTTAGCATTATCAAGCTATCCTCAGGAGACAACTTCTTGGGAAGGAAGGGTATTTTCTGGAATTGAAAAATGAACATATATTTACTTGTATAATTTTAAAACCGAGATCATATGTATGTATGTGCATGTATATATATGTGCATATGTGTACATACATACACATAAAAACAGGATAGAACGACAGGCTAGCTTTTTTTTAATAAAGAAGAAGACAGTTCATAAGTTGCAGGAAGTTCTCCAAGGAAAATGAACAATGATGTACTATCACACAAATAGGAATATATGAAGGAATCAATATCACTGATATGTCTTTAGAACTACCCACCCTTGGCTGTGAAACAAGAGTTTGAACGGTTTATGTGATGTTTACTTCTTCAAGATAGTAATTTACCACCTTTGAAATGTTGATCCCCAACAAGCTTTGAATTTCATCACAAATGAAAAATAGATAAAAAGTCCCTAGAGAACATGGCTAACAGCTTATGCTTTAGTGTTTCAATGTTCATGTTCTTTAGGTCTGGGAATTGTATTTGTTGCTCCTGTAAAACATTGTGCATTCAATCCACTTTATAAGCTTTTATTTGGCTTTTCTCGTAGCCCTTGAATGGTTTTGAATCTAATGGGCCAGGACTTCAGTACAAAGTCAGCTGGCGTCAGAAGGATGGTGATGATGAATGGACATCTGTGGTTGTGGCAAATGTATCCAAATATATTGTCTCAGGCACACCAACCTTTGTCCCATACCTGATCAAAGTGCAGGCCCTGAATGACGTGGGGTTTGCCCCTGAGCCAGCTGTCGTCATGGGACATTCGGGAGAAGACCGTAAGTGTGTGATGCTGTTTCCTTTCTGTTCTTCCCCAGCAAAACAGACTTACCAAGGTACAAGCCAGGTTTATTTCCAGAGGTACTTGGGCTGCAAGGGAGGGAGGCAGCAATTATTATGTAATTTCTCAGAATTGAAATGTCCTAGTATGTAAGAAAGAGAAATTTAGAATGTTAAAGGTGATTATAGGATAGTCATCCATCAGTATCCACCAGGGATTAGTTCTAGGATCCTCTCCCCACTCAGATACCCAAATCTGAGAATATTTAAGTCCCAAAGTCAGCCTGGCCGAGCCTGCCTACATGAAAAGTCAGCCCTCTGTATCCGTGGGGTTTGCATCCAGGAATACTTGTGTTTTCCATCTGCGATTGATTGCAGATATATTATAGAAACCTGTGGATACAAAGAGGCAACTATATTGAAAAAAAAAACCCCAAAAAAAGGACACACACACAGTAAAAACACATGTTTCAAAAGGGAGAGATATATAAAAAAAAAAATCTTATTTTCCTGCTCGAGACTGAGGCAAAAGAATCTCTTGAACTTAAGAGTTTGAGTCCAGCTGTGGCAACACAGCAAGATTCCATCTATAAAAACAAACAAACAAGAATAAATCTTGTTCTCACAAAGTCAAAGATATCTAAAAATCTACTTTCAATCCTTAATAATCCATAGACCGGGGCTGACATGTGTTTCAAGCCACAGTTATTAGAGATAGTGACATGTGTGCATGAAATTCAAAATTAATGCTTCTGCTCCTTCTCTCTCCTTCAGTCCCCATGGTGGCTCCAGGGAATGTGCATGTGAGTGTAGTGAACAGCACCTTAGCTGAGGTACACTGGGACCCTGTTCCTCTGAAGAGTATCCGAGGACATCTGCAAGGCTATCGGGCAAGTAAAAGGGGGGCGTCCTTGTGCTTTCCTTCACAGCAGATCCACAAACACCCTTGTCGTGTGCACTGTATAAGACCGGAGTTACTTGGTTCATCCCTCAAGAACTCCTGAACTCAAATTTGATTTATTGCCTCATGCAGGGCCACAGCCAAAGGACCCTGGCCGGAGTTGACCTGAAATCTCACTGCATCTGAAATGACAGGAAAAAAAAGTTTTCTCCATTTTTCCCAAAGATTATCTAACATTCTGCCAAATAAGCAATTAACATGTGTAGTAAATGGGGAAAACTAATTCTTAAAGAGCCAGAATATAACCAACTGCACCATTAAAGCAATCTGAATCATATGTGTTGAACACACAAAATTACCCCAATGATTTAGGCATATATTAAACAATTCAGATTATACTTGAAGCCCATTTCATCCTAACTCAGTCGTTCCTATAAACATTAGTTATCTTTGTACAGAAAGACCCTCTGGTGGAGATTTTCTGATTTGGGGGCAGCCAAAGAACTCACATATACAG